GAGTGCCCTGGGGGGGGGCGGCTGCGGCTTGATTCGCGTCGGGGCCGCTGTTCAAACGTGGGGCCGCTCATTTCCGATTAGTCCCGAGGGGCCGGGCCTGGGTGCCTGGGGTGGGAGTCGCAACAAACGGGCTCCGTGGGGGTGAGCAGGCGGCATGGCGGGGGAGGAGCCGTGGGCAGGAGGCAGCGGGCAGGGCCGAGGGCGGCGCGGCAGGGCCATGAGAAAGGAGAGAGGGTCCCTAACTGCCAGGGTCACCACGTCTTAAATATGAAATTGTTCTGTCAGAAGCTCATCCTCTGTATTTGTGGAAAAAAAAATCGTAGGCTGAAGAATGTGCAAATAAGTCTTATTCACTTTATATTGCTCTCTGCAAGTTGCCAGCGAGTGAGTGACTGAGAACTGGGTCGTCAGAGCTGAAGCATTTCTTTATTTTGAGGCGAGCCATCATAAGAGAGTGCTGACAGCAAGCCCAGGAGTTGGTTAAGGCTCCCTGAGACTGACTTGGGTTTTGTATAATGCTGCATCAGTGACCTGCCTCAAAGATTATCAGATATTTTGAGCCGTCTTGCTATTATTGATCATACCAGGGTTAAAATTATTGTGCAAATACAATAATTATTGTACACCTGGCAACACTGTTAACTCCTGAGGAATGAAGATTTAAGAAGGAAGGGATCATTGTAATGATGAGCCAAGAAGTCAAATGACTCCCTTCAGCACTGCCTGACTTGAAATGCCGCTGCCGCTGCTAGGCAGTTGGTTTGCAACTTTGGGTGGAGCAGGAATCAAAGCAGGGTACAAGGTCACCTCTGGATCTGCCCTGCTGCCACACAACCCTGAATGCTGGGAGATCCTTTTAAGGGTGCCAGGGGCTGGGTAAATTATAAGAAACCAGGAGCTCCACTGATCTCTTGTAGGGAGGAGTTAAAAACTGCTTAAAGGACTGAAATAAGAGCTCCATGACAAGCAGCAAATAGAGCAGGGCAGAACAAAGGGTAGCTTGATGGGTGGTATGTCAAGACTATTTCAAAGAAGTGACTTAAGGGTTTAGGGCTATATCATTAATTTTAGGATTGAAGCCAAAATACACATTAACTTTATCGGCTTGTCCATTCATTTGTTATCTATTAAACCACAACAAACTAAGCAAAACAGAGTCAAAAGATGTTTCTTTAGTCTGGTTGTGGTTAGAATCAAATGTATTTAAGCGTAAGAGGCTTAAATGTAATTTCTAATTCATAAAACAAAACCTAGCGGCCTTGAGCATCTTGACAGTGCATCCCGTCCTTCACTGAAAGTTCTGCTCGTGCCTAAGTTAATGTGCACCCAAGTTACTGTTCTTAACTCTAGTCTGCAGGGCTGTGAAATAGGAGCTACATTACCAGGAGCAGTGAACAGACAGCAGAATTGCAAAATGAAGAACGGCTTAATTAGTGTAACACTAAAACCATTACAGGAGAGAGGGCTGTTAACATCTGTGGAATAAAGAGTTTAGTAGGAATCAGGTAGATTATAATGAGCCATGAAGTCACTTGATTCTCTCAGCACTGCCTGACTTGAAATGTTGCTGTTACTGCCAGGCAGTTGGCTTGAAACTATGGGTGGAACAGGAATTTATAAAGGGTGCAAGTGCACCAATGCATTCCCCCCTTTGAAGCTGCTTTTGGCTGCCAAACCAAGCACTAGCATCTGAATCCAACCGGCTGGCTGCTTTTTAGCTTGTGGTAGGTTAGCCCCCCATTGGAACACACATGGTCTCAATCAGCTGGACTCAAGTGCATGGCAAGCCCCTCTGATTTGCCTAAACTGAGGTGCAGATCTCAGCTAGAAACAGGTGCCTTGTTTGTCTCCCAACCCCCTTGTCCCATGGGAAGTATTAAAGAAATATCCAGTTTGGTGCCTCAGAATGATGGTAGTTAATTGGGGTTAATAGCCATTTCATCTTCATGTGTAAACAGCTGCCTCCAGAATCCTGTTTTTGTGCAGACTGATCAGCCCTGGATTAAACCAGCTGACGTTTTCTAGTCTTTGTGCAGTTTTTTTCTCAGTAGTGGCAGCTGTGGTAAAAGCTCACTAAGCTCAAAAGCATGACGCTTTAAACAGGCTTAAACCCAAGAATCTGTTGGTGCCTTTGCTGGTGCTTGAAGCCCTCCTCAGTGTTGGCTTCCTTCTGCTTTGTACCTTGCCTGTTAAAAGGGAGGGGGAGAAGCAGCTGCTAGATCTGCCTATTGGGGAGAAAAACTGAAAGGGAGACTGATGTGAGGTCAGGGAAAAGGAGCTCCCAGTTGCAAACATGGAGTGGACCTGAAGACCTGAGGAGACTGGACCCCTTATTGCTTGTGGCATTTGTTGCAAGCCAGTGGGTTCATTGACAGGTGGGGGAGGCTGCCTGATATGATCGTGGCATCCTTTGATATCTTGTGGGCTTTTTGGAGAACAGTGTCCCTTGTCTTTAAAGTGCTCCCTGCCTATGCTCCAGGGTGTTTGGAAAAGTAAACCATTCCCTTCCATTGCTTTATGTTCTAGATGTTGGCGAAATTCATTCCCGACTGCTGGATCACAGACCAGTGATCCAAGGAGAAATACGTTATTTCGTTAAAGAATTTGAAGTAAGTATTTGTCATATGGAAATAGCTCTAGTAAAACTGCAGCATTTCATTAAAGTTTATCAAATGCTTACCTGCTGATGTGATTTGAAGCTATTTTTGTACCTTTTTAGCAAATCTTGCTTATATATGTTAGAAAGGTTTATTTTAAGCATACATCATGCATTTCCTCCATTGAATAGATGGAAATGTTCTTAGCAGGTCACTATTATGGAGTTATCTGGAAAATGAGGCAAGAATTAAAAATAAAACAAGCCCTTTCCGTACCTAATGGATGGCTTCCTGAAGCTTGCCAACCATCTGCTAATATTGATCAAGGAGAGAGTAACTGATACATCCTTGGACAGCTCCTAGAACAATGGTTCTCAGTCTTTTCAGAGTTGGGGCATGCCTCCACTATTTTTTTTTTTTTTTTGATGTGATGGCATCTCTGTTTGAGGACCACTGTTGGTGCTGCCTCAGCTTAGCTCAGTGCTTTTCAACCAGGCGCTGCTGCTGCTGTTCTATCCAGGTAAAACTGCCCAGTGTGCCTGCTGCGCAGTCAGGGCATGTGTACACTTGTGCTGAATTAGGGCTCTCAGGTAACCCTAAAGCAGGACAGGTTCGGTGACTCGGGCTGTAGCTTTTCCTGATCAAGCCCCATCATGCCTATCCAAGAAACAAAGGCATATGAGTGGAACTGGTCCTTGTGCCTCTGTTTCTCAGGGAAGCTTGAGGGGAACTGGACAAAGGAGGACTACAGCCAGAACCAGCTCTCCTGTTCTGCATCAGAAATCCCTAATGCAGCAGGAGTGTGTGCATGCTGCAGCCCTGCCTATGGGGCAGTTTTACCTGGCTGCTGAACTTGTGTTAAAAGTGTTACATTACATCTATGCTGTAGGTTTAGCAAGCTTGCATTGGCTACATCTGATGTAATTGTGATCCTTTTCGTAGTCTAAATAAACCTGTGTTTCAAAGGGTAAATATGTACTTCTGTTGGAGTACCCCTGCAGCATTGTTATTGGTAACCTACCTAGCTAGATCAAAACTAGCTCTGGTACCTCTCCATGTGTTGCACTCAAATCAAGTGTATTTAGAGTTGTAGATTAAAAAATATATGATGATTGTTAGTTACACTGGTACCGAACACCCACACAGCTGGTCATCCTATGTGGAGACAAACCATCAATATGGTATAAAATATCACCCCCACAAATTCTTGCCTTTTGCAGTACAGCATAACAGATTCTGTTTGTTTAGACACCTTCATAATTATCTGTTGCCCCAACTGTCTGTCGGACTTTTTTGGCTGGAATGCATTAAAGTAATCTAGTTGTGATGTTACAGAGTCTTTTATTGATTATTACAGACCTAGCATCCAAGATGAATGATGTTCCAGGTCTGGCAGCAAAAGAGCCAGAATAACTTTAAATGGTATAAATTAAGATCTTTATAAGAATCTGAAAAAAGTATTGTAAATATGTAACTGTTAAAAGAGTAGATTTCCCATCCTAGCTCCTCCCCGATTTCTCTTTTTCCTCCCCCCTCCCCATCCCTGGCTGAACAGCTTTGAGACAGAGTTGGTGAGTGAAACGCTGCATTGTTGAATTGTGGGGTCACCCTGAGCAAGAACATGTTCAAATTAACTGTAATCAGTTACATTCTGGTTGGTACTTAAGGGTCTGGTCTCTGATGGCATCCGAGGTCAGGATTTTCACATGTGTTTATTGAGGGGGGAGGTTCTACTTGGTTATTAATTGGGTGTAATGCCTATTTAAACACATCTCTCCACTGAAGTACATTGTGTATAAGCTTGAAATTTGTATGTATTGCCTCATGCTGGTTCTTGTTGGATTGGAACCTAAACAGCGTCACAGTGGACTCTTGGTTTAATAAGAGAACCATCAGTGAATGATAGTACGGTGTCAGGTATGATACAGTAGACAATATTCAATCCAAAGTTTTAAGGATAATTATGAGAACTGAGGTATTGAGACTTTTTTTAAATAGCATGAATACTTGACTGTTAAACACAGAACCTTTCAGTAGCATTAAAGGTATTAGCTCAACTATTCTGTTCAGTTGAATTTGGATAATTGTTTTTATGAACATATTACATTCACACTGCAGTATCCACAGGTTACAGTATTTATTTCTTTCTTTTTCTGTCATAACATAGGTAGCAGTGTTGGGTTTGTTTCTGGGGTGGCTTTGGGTTTTTTGTGGTTGGTTTTTTTTGGGTTTTTTTGGGCAACTAATAGTTTTAGTGGAGAGGTGACACGATCCATGCCAGACTATGACATTGTTTAGCATTCTGATTTGCCTGTGTGGTATTCCACTAGCAGAAGTAGAGTTCCATATCAGTGCACAGGCATCATGGCTCAATGCATAGGATCAGTGCATTGATGCATCTTTGTAGCATTTTGCATCATGAAAGACTTCTCCTGGGCTTTAAAAAAGCTATTGTGGGAAGGCCTGGAGCCTGCCTGCTTTATCTAAGGTCGTATTTGGCAGTCAAATTTGCCCACAGCTTTAAAAAAAAAAACAACCAAAAAAACCAAAAACTGAAGCACTTTTCATGATAGTGTTTTGTTCTGGGAATGTGTTAGTCTAGTTATGGGTGTCATGATCTCTTTTTTTTTATTTTTTTAACCCTTTAAAAAAGTCCATGTAACCCTTTCCTTGCTGTGTGTATTGATACAGTATGATACACTTCTTGCACAACTTTTTAAGTTGTTGTGCTTCTTGCCTTCAATTAAAATTTAACAGGTCATGATCTCGCTCCCTTGAAAAGATTGAAGTCTTTAAAGAAGAAAATTTTATACAAGATTAATTTTGAAGGTGTGAAATATAATCACCACAAGGTGGCAGCAAAAGTTCAGAAAACAGTTGATAGTTGTAAAACATTGTCAGTAAGAATAACTTTACTCTTAAATATTTTTGAAGAAAAGAATTCAATATTAAAAGGCTTCAGTCAAGGTCTGGTTAGCATGATACACATCTCTGACTAATAATTTTTGGTTCTTTTTAAATAAGCTCCAGTACAATTAAATGGTATTCTTTTTAGCTTGTACTCAAGTTCCGTAATAGGAGAAGAGTTACTTTGGCTCTAAAACATGCAGGTGACTTGCATAGTAATCCTTCCTGATTTAAAGATATGTTTTAAGTAGATTTAATTTGGCCCTATTCTAGTTCAAAAAGTCAAAATTAATGGTTTGCGCGCTTTTAAAATTTTTTTCTTGTTTTGTAATTAAGGCCATGAACAGGTGCTTTTCTCAACACTAAAAGCTAACATACAGGCTTTCAAGGTTTTTTCTCACTCAATAAAATAATTTGTTCCTTGAAAAAGTATTATCCCTTTTAACCAGCAACTTCTCCAAAGAGCATACCTGTACACTTACCTTGGAACAACTAGTACCCCACAGGTCTTTGCTCTCCCTCTCTCCCTCCAAGGCTCTGTGATACTCCACTCAGAGGCCAACTGTCAGGGTGTTCTGCTAGAACCTCTCTGCTGCCAGGTTTGAACAATATCTGGACTCATCAAAACTGATTAAGAGGCATCA